TACTGCTTTGAGTGACTGGTACAACTTTACAAGTTGAGAATTATGAACGAGCTGTGAAGGTACATGTCTTCGGAGTGTCGTCAGCATGATGTGAAAGTCTGGCCTTTCAGTTTCTGCTAAATATCTAGCAGCAGGAATTCCCAATAGTCTGGGATATCTCGATATAGTGTACCACGAGTTCATTCTAGACACCTGAACCTCAGTAACAATATGTAATGCTCAAATTAAGGAATACCCCTCTAACCTAGAGGATATTTTGTTAAGATTTTATAGCAAATAATTTCTGCCTATTTAATGAGGCTTCAATCTGTGTAAAGCTTTATCTCATTATTTGTTGTCTGGGTATAGTTTTATTTTCAGAAGTGTACAAGAGCAGAAGGTCTTGGTGGACATGTTCAAGATTACTTCATTTAAACTCTGATCTGTACCACCAACATAATCCACCTGACTACCCAAACAGCACCTTGCAATTATGTAAGCATCCCTTTAAGTTCTGAAAACACCCTAAGCCGTTACAGTTTATAGTCTGATATAAAACTAGTCTTATTTACAAGAATGGTTGAAAACCTTCGGCAGTACAAGTGCAGTTAAGGAAAATGGATTGTTGAACGAACAGCTATGGCCCACGTGAAATAGATGAGTTTAGGAATGGTTCAATCAAGTTTTCGAGATGATTGCTAGCCTTACTGAGCTGACGGATAAACTTTTACTGACCTTCCTTTTTTGTTATTTGAGGAAAGTATAGCTATTCAAGAAGGAAAAAGAATCTTGAATCTGTAAAAAGAAAAACTGCACAGCCTCAGGACATCTCCAAACCATGAATTACTTTTAGAATGTTGTTTCACGTCTGTACAATTGTGCAATAAGTTAGCAGCCTATTTGAATGCTGTAAGGTTACACAAACAACAGTGAGGTAAATGATCAGGCAGTCTATTTTTGGTGATGTTGGTTGGGGATACATATTGATCAGCACAGCAGGAGAACTTCCCTGCTCCTTCTAGTTGTACGACGTGATTTACCCTCTCCACCCCCGAGGGCAGACGGGGAATCGGTCCTCGACAATAAAGTGAGAGTTTTGGTTTGATTAGTACAGCACTGGGGTCCGAGGCAGCGGTCTTCAGTTCAGGTCCCAGTCCAGAGAATTGAGTGCCTAATCCAGGGCAGCACTGATAGAGCTGTTACCCTTTAGATAAGGCATTAAACTGAGCCTCTGTCTTCTTCTCTTAAATAGTGATTAAATGGCATGATTTGAAGGAAAAACTAGGGAGCTTCTCCCTAGCATCCTGGTCAACATTTATCCTTCAGTGAATGCCACTAGAACAGAGTACCAGGCCATTTTGTCATTGTTGTAGGTGGGACTTTGTTGTACGTAACTTAGTTCCTACACTTATGACAACATTTCAAAAGCATTTAACTGAAACTTTGAGATTTTGAAAGTCACTATTTAAAATGTATGTCTCTTGTTGTTCTTGTTGACAGTGTAGAGTCAGTTTAGATTATATGCTCCCATCTCACAACACAATCTGCTGTCTTCCTGGTTTAGTGTGTGCTATTGTTGTGCCAAGCTAACAGTTAGCATAATAATAACTTTGTTTTTGAATATTGTGTTCAATCTAAGTTTGAATCTGTTAACCCCTGAGTAATTGATGCTGAATAACTCAAGTTGGCTTTCTTTTGTGTCCTTTTAAGGCCATTACTTTTTGTTTGTAAGTGGAAAAGTTAGTCCTACCAGATACTTTTGCTTGCTATCTTGTATTTATAAACTAATATCTTGAACCTAATGTTTCTCGTACTAGTGTGATCAGATTGTGATAATTGACAATATTTCCTGTCTTCCAGGTGTGCTGATGAATGTGCTAATATATTTTAGCATAACTGTAGATCGGTACATTTTTAGATGTATGCTTTTGTTCATGTTGCAACTTGCTCTCCTTGTACCTCGGTCAAGTATTAAGCAGCCACATGACCTCCATTTATGATCATAGACATTTTCAGCAAAGTGATAAGGAGTTTAGAATCTTGCCCATCTATTTTCCCAGTTACACCTACATACGTTTGTTGTTTCCAACTGAAATCACCAACCTTTTGAAGATACTGGCTTTTTTCCCCTCCCATTCCCTTAATCCTGAGGTAATAGAAGTAAGGCTTATGACGCAAATATCCTGCAGAGTGCCTAGTCTGTATGCCTCCATTCACATTCAGTGGTGTATTTTCTACCTCATGCCCACATTTACTGTGAGTGCCCTACTGAATGAGGAACCATATAAATCTGATCCAGGAGCTTGGAATTGTTTTAGCTAGAAAATTCTACCGTTTTAATAACATTCATTTTAAGCCAAAAAACCTCCAATTAATGATGAATTTTGAAGTTAATTTATTCTGTGTGTGTGTGTGTGTGTGTGTGTGTGTGTGTGTGAGATTGCCTATTATCATTGGTTTAGTGATGCCACTGAACTTTGTGGTGAGAAGAGGTTTTAGTGATCAATGTAGCTCTGTCACCTGAAGGACATTGAAATCAAGATAGCACTAGCTGCTGTTATTTGTACTGTCTTGGAATCATGACCCTCCCTCCCTCCCTCACCATTTCTCCTCCTCCCCTGTTGAAAGGGCCAAATATGCTGACCAACCGTAACGGGCAGTTACCAAATATTCAAAACTTCAAGCAGGGAATTCCATCTCAGTGAAGTTCCTCACTTCTCATTCTTCATTTTCCTCTCGATTTCTCTTTAACACCTTGAGTTGTGTTGGGTACGGTGGACCCCAGCAGCTCATCAAGGTTGGCATTAACATCAGTTATAGTCATTCAACACCCCCAACTCCACCCCCCGCCCCAGGCAACACCCAGGATCATCGAGTATTCTGTTTGCAGTGCAGCAATCGAATACTGTCTGATATTGATTCTAATTGGTCAAGGAAACATTTGTTAAACATGACTGGTTAGGAGATAAGGAGTTGTATGAAAGTGCTTCCCACGCTCCCTCCTGTTTGATGTATGTATAACAGAATGTATCCTGTTCAACTGGCACAATTAACAAAGTAAAAACGTACATTACAGTTGTTACAAGAGGATTGAAAATCCCTTATCCGGCCCAGGAGTTTAAGGTTTGAAATTGGCAGCCCAGTGTAAGTTTGAAACTGCAATTGCACTGATGTGTGACTTTGAACTATGCAAAGTCACAGTGGTCACAGACTATCTTGGTTGCAATGTAAGCACAGAAGACCTTGGAACTGAACTGGAATTAAATAAAATGCATTCATGTCAAGCAGCTCACAATCTGTTCAGTTAATCTACTTCTGTCCAGTAATATTTGTTTGTTTACATTCTTGACTGTGTCTCTTTTTTTAAACTGACTATCGTTACAGAAATAGGAAAAATGCTCTTTTCTTTTGACGTTAGCTGAAATCAGATTGTCAGCTTTCTGCTGTTGGATACAAAGTTCCCTTTGTTCATATTCTGTCATATTTTCTGGACCAAAAATCTTGCAATATTTTATCATGTTTTGCTTGATGCAATCTGTTCCAGTCCACAGCTCGTCTCTCCTAAATCTTAAACCTGATGTTTATTAATTCAGTAAGCTAAATGTCTGCGGCTACCTGCCTGAGCATTCCTTTAGAAGCACAGATCTACGTTGTTGTATGCACATGTCTGAAACTATTTGGCATTGATTGGCATAAAATAGCTTATTGCCATACATTAAGATTTGTAAACAATGTAGGGATATTCTCAATGATCCAATGAGCAGCTGCTTGAAGCAAAATTTGTATAACCACGATGAGAACTTGGAGTGCAACATGCTTGGTTTACTGTGGTTTAAAGCCACAAAGTTAGTTTTGGAAAAGTGGACAAGTTGGAGATGGTGGCCTCGTGGTGTTGAGAGCCAGTGGATGATCTGATCAAGGTCACAAATGCTTATTTGAAAGTATGAGGTGCAGAGGCACCATTTGATCCTTCCTGCTTTGGATATATCGCTCAAAAATGCCATTCAGCCTGACCAGTCCATGCCAGTGTGGATGCTCAAATCTCCGCTCATCTTTCTTCCCTCCCTCTTGATGGATAGTAAAAATGATTTTCTGTTTCTGTTGTTCATTTATATTCTTTGCTTTTCAGGAATACATATTATTGCTCCCTTAAACCTTAATACATTGATCTGCTTCTGCTAATTGTTGCACCAAAGGCCACAGCTTAGAACTTATAACAACATACCTATTGCTGTTTCAGCAGTTTTTATTTTTGATGCATTCAGGTTTTTAAGTCAAATTGTAGTAATTGTCCATTTGTAAACTTCACCATATGTGGGGACATTGACTGGTGGTGACAGACTAGGCCACTTGCATGAAATGGACAATGATTGAGCCACTTTAAGCCAGAGATACTCAAAAATGAGGTAAACAATGAGAAATACTTTGGTTTTTTTTTTAAGGAATGGAGGGTATCTGATGCAGCCCATGAATTCCATTGTCCAGCCCTTGAAGCCTTGGTGTAGTTTTTTTTTCCTTTGTGTCGTTGAACACCTAAATTCCTCCAGTTAGTTGTATAATATTAAATTTCACCGGCTTGGAGAATTGGATGTGGCCAATGCTGTTTGGAGCACTGGGATTTAATAATGAGTGATATTTTTAAAATTGCTATATGTTTGTT